GAGAGATGACCAAATGGAAAAAAAAGTTTAATTGGAAATTATTTGATTGGAAAAAATCTCTCCACTTAGTGTGTAAAGTGTGTAAACACACACACACACACTTTTGGGATAAAATCACAGAGAGATGAACGGGTTTGATTTTTTGATGGTTTTTAGAAAATTTTTGACGGTTTTCCACAACCGAATCGAATCGAATTTAGTTAGTGGAAACAAAATCAAATCAAGTTAGCTTTTTGGTTGGTTGGTTGATTTGATCAATGATAACCATTATTAACATCATTAGGGTAATTAATTGATGGATGATCGTTAATCTAATCAAAAATCAAGGAAAATGTTTTGACCTTTTTTTTCAGTGATGGAAATTGGCCAGAAAAAAAATGCCACAGATAAGCAAGCAAAATGAAGATAAAACTTTTCAAAAAACTTTTCCGGTTATAAAAATTACTGGAAAAATTTTTTCTCGAACAAATAAAATTGAAATTAAAAAAACAACCCAAAATGATGCTACCGTGTTTCTCTGTTTCTCTGTCTACGTATGTAACATCTGCCATTTGAAATCTTTTTTAAAAAAAAATCAAAAATCAAAAAAGAGACGATTCACACCTGGCAATCAAACCACAAACATATACGTTTTGCCAAATCAAATTCAAATTAGTTTTTTTTAACAAAAAAAAAATTCTCGTCATTTCTGAGTTTTTTACTCAGAATTTTGTAATATTAATTTGAATTTAATAATTCAATAACAGCAACGAAAACAACAACGAAAAAAAAATTGAATTTCAAGAATCCACTTTGTCGTAAAATGATACAATCAATTTTCATGTATTTTCAAGTGAAAATTAAATTCCACATCATTTCATTTTTCATCAATGATCACTTTGAATCAACTTATAGTGAAAAAGATGCTTGTTCAAAACAAAAAAACATTCGAAACCCGGATGAAAACTAAAAATGAAATGAAATGAAAATTCATTGATGATTCAAGTGGAATTCGTATGTGGAACAATATGTTGTTCAAACAAACAACAAACAACAAACAAACAAACAGAGAATAAGATGTTCAAGATAAAGTTCAAACAATCTTTGAAAATCATTCGTCGTGCATCTGTTTCAATGGAATTAATGAAAAAGGAATTAAAAAATTTTGGCAAAAAAAACAAGAATTAACAAGTTTGGGTGGCCGCTTTACAAAACCAAAAAAGTTTTGTTTTGTTTTTCTGCTGAACATATTTTCCATTGCTGCTGCTGCTGCTGCTGCTACTGTTTTTTTTCTTTTCTCTTGATTATGATTATGATTTTTTTTGTTTGTTTTGTTTCGGGGTTCTTCGGTTTTGATTGGTTGTCATCAACACCTGATGATGATGATGATAATGATAAAAAATCGACGATACTGACGATGTTTGTTTGTTCTTAATCGTTTGATTTAATGACTTTTTTTGTTCTTTCCAAACCAAACTAAGATCATCATTACATTCGGGATGATTCATCAGCAAGCTCCGTGAAAAAAAGTATTAAATATGGTTAAAATCTTAATGTTTATTTGATTGATTTAAGTGTATTTAAAGGATTATCGTCATCGTTGTTGTTGCTAATGATGATGGTTAAATTTTCTAATTGATTTTTTTTTCTCTTGTTGTTATTGTTTTGCATTGTTTTTTGTTGCTGCGTTTAAAATAATCCTCATTTAGGAAAAAAACGACGAAGGAATCTTTCTTTCTTTCTTTTTTTTGGGGAAAACTATCGATTAAATCGATTAATTCGTTCGTTTCTGAGTTACAATAAATCATCGAATTTAATTTTCAAATGAAAAAAGAAAGATTTTAATTCGATTGGCACAAAAAAGAAAAAACGATCAAACCAAAATGAAATTTTGAACAAAAAAAAAACCAAAACAAAACAAAACAAAATCTGCATTCATTTTTCAATCAAAACAGTCAGCCAGCCAGCCAGCCATCGAATGAAAGAGATAAACTATCCCATTAGAGTCTCACTAATGATCCAAAAATTGAATTGAATTGAAACCCGTACGAACCAACCATTTTCGAAAGTTTTTTTTTCCATTTCTCAATCCATTCTTGTTTCCTTCATCCTTATTTTATTTTATTTTTTTTTTAATTTGATTTAAAAATTTTACCAAACAAAACGAAATATTCTGTAAAATGAGAACAGAAAGAAATGATTCAACTTTTTTCCCCCATTCCCTTCCCCCTGTGTTAAAATGAATTGACAATTCGTTTTTTTCAATTCAGAAATTTCATAGAAAAACAAAAACAGAAACAGAATCCGAATTTCGATTTGGAAAATTGTAAAATATTCTGGTTGTATGGTGGCGAAAAGTGACTAAGTGAAAATTATATGACCTATGGGGGTTATATAAAATTCAAAAAAATGATTTTTTTTTTGCTGATTGAGAATTGTCATCAACAACAAACGAACGAATTGACCACCACATTATGTCATAAAATGGCTGGCCGGTGGTCAGCCGCCACAAAATATTAATATTTTTTTCCCTCCCCCACCCAGAAATCCAGAAACCAAAAAATATGAAAAAAAATACCGAAAAACAATAATAAAACCGAAACAACCAATATTCATCATTTGAATGAATGAAAAATTCGTTGCACTTGATCGAGAAATTCAGCCAATCCAAAAAACAAAAAAAAACTGATTTCAAATGCGGCAAGAATTCAAAAAACAAAACAACAACAGAAAAATGTCTTAATTACAAACAAACCAAACAACCGAAAAAAGCCCAAAAGTCATCAGTGATTATTGTCATAAACATTATCATTGTTGTTGTTGTTGTTGATCAATAATAAAATCAAGCCAAAAAATATATATATTTCTTGTCTTGTCATCATCATCATCATCATTGATAATAATCGATTTTCTTGTTTCTTTTTTTACTACCGAACTTTGTTTGTTTGTGCCATAAAATGAAACTTAATG